GCAGGGCACTCCCTTGGGAGCTCTGCTTGTGTCCATCGTGGAAGGGAGCTGAGCTGTTTTCTGACCACTCTTGTCCTCAGGTGCTGGAGAAGACCAAGCAAGTCATTGAGAGTCACCCTAATCAGCCATGGGTCATTATGGAAATGGAAAATGGAGCCTCAGCGAAGGTATGGGAAGGCCTGGTTTCTCCTCAGCAACCTTCCTTGTGCCTTGAGGAGCAGCTGGGTGGTCTCTGCTCCCTCAGGGAGGCAGTGCAGTGCTACAGAGCTGTCCTTCTTCACACCTACTGTCCCTGAGGAGGAGGAGGGACTGCTGGGGCAGTAGAAGTCATGATGTTTGTGGCCCCTGCAGATCAGCTCCAGGAGCGTTGTCCTGGGCTGGCTGTGTGGACAGGGCTGGGCAGAGAGCTGTCCCCCAGCTCTTGGGCACTGTCAGCCACAGCTGGGTTCAGGTTCTTCCACAGCCAGGGCTGAATCTGCTCCTTCCCTCCTCCACACACAAGTTTCTTTCCAAGCGATATCTATTGGAATAACAGCTCCCTTTTGTGCACTGTGCCACAGTGCTGAGCCCAGCAAGTGCCAGGCAGCAGGGACTGATCGTGCCTGGGGTTGGAGCGCTCTGGTTTTAATGCCCTGTTTAAATTTCCACTCTGGGAGTCTTGGAGCTGATCCTGCTCGCTGTCTGTGGCCCTCCCTGTCACCATGACACCCACGCTCGCAGTGGGTGCCATCTGAGTGTTCTCCCTGGCAGAAGGGTGCATCCCAGGGGATGGCAGTGCTGGCAGCCCGGGGAGCTGCGTGTTCCCAATCCACCCAGAGCAGCGCTGCTTTGCTTGCCAGAGGACCTGCTCCTGGAGCTTCTGTGCTGCATCGTGCTGTCTGTGTGAACAAGGGATGATGCTCTCCTTGGGAATAGCAGGATGCATGGCAATCTCCCTGGTTCTTCCTGTGTGCCTGCTGTGTCTGTTAACCCTTGCAGCCTCTTCATGCTGTTTTTGAGTTCTCCTGAGTCACTTTAGAACAGCTGTTCCCTCCTCCTGGGGGGAGCTTTTTTCCCTCCAGCCAGTAACTCAGGCTAAGGTTCACTCTGGGGCAAATTCTGCCAGTTCCTGGATAACTGAAGGTGGAGAAATAAAGGCAATTTCTCCTTCCTGCCTCAGGGGACACGGACAGGGCTTGTGTGACCTGCCAAGGCTTCTACACTGCAAGGGATGTGAATATGGCTTGTGTTGGGGAGGAGGAGCACAGCAGGGTGATGCTGGCTGGTTTAATGCAAGTCCAGATCCCTGAGGTCTCTGTGGGTGCCATGGGGGCTGGAGGTGAGCTGGGTGTGAGTGCAGGGAAGATGTGCTGCAATAATTTTCTTCTCTTACAGGCCCTGAATGAATCTCTGAAGCTCTTCAAGACTAACTCCCCCCAGACTGCTGCCATGCTTTTTGCTGTGGATAATGAAGCTGGCAGGATCACCTGCCTGTGTCAGGTACCCCAGGTAATGCTGAGACACTCTGTATCTGCCTCTCCGTGAACCTTCCTGGGGGAGATGCAGCTTCCAGGCAGGAACTATCCAACACTCCACGGCCGGGATTGATTTGGGTTTGACCAGAGCCACAACACTCATGCTTTGGTGTATCATCAGTCTACAGAAGTGTGGGAAAAAGGTTGTGCTGTGCAAATGGGGAAGAAGAGTCAGAACGTAACATGGTGGTAGGCATGGGTCAGGGAGACAGCTGTTTGTCCCTCAGTGCTGACCATGATTTTTTTTTTCTCTTTTCCTGCCCAGGAGACTGCAAATAAGGGCCTGAAGGCCAGCCAGTGGGTGCAGGAGGTGTCTGGCTTGATGGACGGCAAAGGCGGTGGGAAGGACATCTCTGCACAGGCAACGGGCAAGAACGTGGGCTGCCTGCAGGAAGCCTTGAAACTGGCCACGGACTTTGCTAGGCTCCGGCTGGGGGAGCTGAAGAACTGACTGA